CCCGAAAACAGAATCTCTCAGCCTTTATCTAAGGGCGGCTTCACTCGGTCTCAGCACATGTTCTCCCAAATCTGTTGTATTTACAACACCTTTCAGAAGCCTTCTTTGAAACTCAAAAACCAGTGCATATTATGCTATTTCTTTGATTTGGGGGTGTTATCCACACTCTAATGCAGCAAATTCAATAGGGCCTTACTAACTAGATGAGGAAAGGCCAAGGAGTGCAAGGAAATAGTGTGTGGGGCAAGACAGAGGTGAACATTGGTTAAAACAGGAGAAACATCCCCCTAGCACATTTGCTTTGGGGAGCTTTCCTGCCCAGAGCCCAGCTCCTCTCCTGCCTCACTTAAAGGCACTTCCCCCTTGTTATACAGGTTGTGCTGGCCCAGCCAGGAGAACTAAGCTATTGGTACTGACTTCCATTTCCAATGGCAGCAAAAATGTATTAACAAGCAGGCACCAGTGGGGGGTGAGGGAGGGTGGGTTTCTCCATTTCTTTCCATTAGCAAGTCCTTCATCTGCAATGTCGCTGGACCACCTTGCAGGGAGTCAGGAGGGCAGGGAAGCAGACCCAGCTCTGAGAGGAGCAGCACAGCCCGCAGAACAGAACCATACCAAAGGGCTGCCATTTTGGGGACCTCAAAAGTCATTAAACCCAGATGGAAGTCACTTTATCCGAATCCTCACCTTGTTGGTGTGTTGACGTGGACTGGCCTCGAAGGCCACCAAAGTCAGAGTGACCTAGGTTTAAATATTAGCCCTGGAGGTTAGTGATCCTGAAAAACCCACTCCATTTCCTTCGCCTCAGTCTCCACATCTTTAAATGGGCATCATCTTTGTGATGATTCAATACAATAATGTTTATAGAACCCTTAGGCTCCTGCTTAGATCCTGGTCTGTTCATGCTCAGTTACTGTTAGGTCTATCCCTTTCTCTTGGGAGGTCCACAGATGAAGAACAGGTCTTATCTCTAGGGTCCTGAGTATTTATTTAATGCTGAGAATTCACAAAGCAATCAAATCACACCCTGAAAACTAAAATCAAGCAAACGGAGAGGAAGAATCACTGAGACCCTCTAGCATGTCTTTCTTAACTCTCATACCTGGGAGGGTGGCTAATTGGGCGTTTCATCTTGGCACGGACCCTAACATGGTGTGACTCAATCTGTTGCAATGCTCTGCATTGCTAGCGCACTGATTTCATTGTTGAGAGTCTCTCATTGGTAAGAAATATTTCCTTATTCAGTATCAGTTTCTTCAGCTGATTGGCTCTATCCCATATCTCATTGTTATGGATCCTCACCTAAGTGCAAAGCTTTAGAGGGAAATGCCCAGGAAAATTCTTGCCTTTGAGTGGGCCCACCGTATATTGAAACCGAAATTCTGCAGGAAAAATGGTAGGGAATGACTTAGAAGCCTTGGTGGAAGCATTTATGTGCACAACTATAACTTCTTCCAGGCATAAAAGCTGTGTTCTGCATTCTTCAAAATTCTCAGACTTTGTGCACTGTTGGTTCAAGGTCACAACCAAAAGCCTTTATGCTCTGAAGGCAGAGACATGCTGTGATTTCAAGGGCATGACCAGATTTGAGAGAAAGGAGAGCTCAGAGCTTACGAATTGGAAAGGCAGAGTGTAACGGCAAGGGGTCATTCTCCTGTTTAGGGTAAGGGCATGCAAATAGCATGTGAATTGCACGTTACATCTTTCAGATGTGAGTATTTGGTTGACGAATGGGGGTTGTTGGCAACACTTTTGGGAAATGAACTGTCTTTATCCTGATTCACAGAGTTGGAGCTGAGCAGGGCATAGAGGAGAAAATAGCACTGAAATACGTAAAACAACAACTCTGTTACTTGTTATATTTCCTCTCTTACCTGCCCCTTGTCTGGAGGGGATGAATCAGCAATACCACCTGTTGGTTCACAGGGTGGATTTGACTTATTTTTTTTGGACTCTTCCAGGGGGGATCCCAGGGAGAGACAGTTAAGAACTGGCCCGCTTTTGCCACGTTTTTGCTGTTTTGTCTTCTTTGTGCCAAGCAGAAAGGGCAGGATCTGCACAAAAACCCCTGCAGACTTATGACCTGTCACCAGTAGAATCCAACCATAGAAAGGCTCAAGGCTCAGGTCGAGGGCTAGACTCAGACTTATGGCCATTAGAACTGGAAAGTATCTCAGAAATAATTAGATTCACCCAGTACCCTCATCTTACACATCAAGAAATTAGGGGCCCAGGACTGGAGTGGGAGGGTGCTCAAGGGCACAAAACCAGTTTGAGATGGAAGTGGAGTGCAGACAAAACACACGTGCAGAGCCAAACGGGAGCATAAGGATTCAGCCAAAAATCTAACTGTGATTATGCATGGCTTTTCTCATTAGAACGGCCGCTGTGTGTGTGGATTTCCCTGTTTGCCCCTCTCCACTCGGCCCCACCCTGCTCTGTGCTCCAGGAGGCGAACCTGTATCAACGGCATCAACACTTTCCCTGCCCCCTAGGGCTTCTGGTTGATTTTGGAAAATGGTGAATTTTTGGTGGGAGATGGGAGAGAGTGAGGAGAGTGAGGCTGAGGTGTTCATTGTATTAGGGTTCTCTAGAGGGACGGAACTAATAGGATGTATCTATGAAGGGGAGTTTATTAAGAAGTATTGACTCTCTTGATCCCAAGGTGAAGTCCCACAGTAGGCCGTCTGCAAGCTAAGGAGCAAGGAAGCCAGTCTGAGTCCCGAAACCTCAAAGGTAGGGAAGCTGACAGTGCAGCCTTCAGTCTGTGGTCGAAGCTCCAGGAGCCCAAAAGCTGAAGAACTTGGAGTTCCATGTTTGAGGGCAGGAAGCATCCAGCACAGGAGAAAGATGTGGGCTGGAAGACTAAGCCAGTCTAGTTTTTTCCATGCTCTTCTGCCTGCTTTTATTTTGGCCAAACTGGCAGCTAATTAGATGGTGCGTACTCTGAGTGGGGGTGGGTCTGCTTTTCCCAGTCCACTGACTCAAATGTTAATCTCCTTTGGCAGTACCCTCACAGACACACCCAGGATCAGTACTTTGCATCTTCAGACTGACCAAGTTGACACTCGGTATTGACCATCACATCGTCCCCTCCCCATTCCATCCCCATGTGGTCACTTGCAGCTGCCCCCTTGAGGGCAGTACCGGAGACCTGTGGATGGCACTATCCTGCATGACACAACTTGTATGAACAACGCCTTTACCAACTTGCCTCAGAGTCACCTCACTTGAGTGTGCCATTTATTTCCTGCCAAGAACCCGAATGATACTGTAACTGAAGGCTCAATGGAAAAACGTTAGCATTATGATGGCATTTGCTAATGATCTTGCTTACACGCTCCTTAATAGTAAGCTAAACTTTTGAGAGGCCCCCTCCAGGAGAATTTGGGGATTAGAAGAGATGGAACAATTCTGAAATAATGACAGGAACTAGCTTAAGTGTACTCACTTTCATTGTTGTTGTTACTGTGATCTAAAATCATGTAGATGACATGTGACTCCATTCTGGTTGGAAACAGAACAGGATAGGTGTATGTAGGTTTAGTTCCATCTCTCTTGCCTCACCACCCATCTCATTTCCCCCTCCGGGTAACCACTAGAGCAGCTTAGTGCACTTTTTTCTGGTCTTTCTGGATATACACACACATACCACACACACAGACACAAATGTAGATAGAGCTCATAGGTTTGGCTGATAGTATGCTATAGTCTGAATGTGTCCTTCTGTAATTCATATGTTGAAATTCCAACCCCCAAGGTGATGTATTAGGAGGTGGGGCCTTTGGGAGGTGATTAGGTCGTGAGGATGACACCCTTGTACATGGGATTAGTGCCCTTATTAAAGAAGCCTCAGGAAGCTATTTTCCCTTCTGCCATGCGAGGGCATAGCAAGGGGTCAGCAGTCTGCAACCCAGCAAAGGACCCTCACCAGAACCCAACCATGCTGGTGCTCTGACCTTGAATCTTCAACGTCCAAAACTGTGAGAAGTAAATTTCTGTCGTGTATAAGCCACTCAGTGCAGTCCATGGTATTTTGTTATAGTAGTCTGAACGGGCCAAGACGTAGTATATGCATTGCCCTGCCGTTTCTCCATCAGTATATGTGCATACCTTATTCTTTTGTAACTGTAATATGATATTCCATAGCATGGATATGATAAGCGATTTAACCATTTGCAATAAGTGGATAGCCTCTGGTTCAACTTCTCAGATAGCTGACCCTTGAGCCATGCAGGAGTTAGGAGTGCTGAGCCACCATGTAACTAAAAACCTGTGTACTCCCCTAAAACTTAACTAATAGAATTGTATTGACTAGAAGGCTTACCGGTAACATGACATTATTTTAACACACATTTTGTATGTTATGTGTACCATATACTGTATTACTACAATCAAGTAAGGTAGAGAAAAGACAATGGTATTAAGAAAATCATAAGGAAAATTATCATTTGACCCAGCAATCCCATTACTGGTTATATACCCAAAGGATTATAAATCATTCTGCTATAAAGACACATGCACACATATGTTTACTGAAGCGCTATTTACAATAGCAAAGACTTGGAACCAACCCAAATGCCCATCAATGATAGACTGGATAAAGAAAATGTGGTATAGATATGCCATGGAATACTATGTAGCCATAAAAAAGAATGAGTTCATGTCCTTTGCAGGGAAATGAATGAAGCTGGAAACCATCATCCTCAGCAAACTAACACAGGAACAGAAAACTAAATACTGCATGTTCTCACTTAAAAGTGGGAGCTGAACAATGAGAACATGTGGACACAGTGAGGGCAACATCACATACTGGGGCCTGTCAGGGAGTTGGGGGCAAGGGGAGGGAGAGCATTAGGACAGATACCTAATGCATGTGGAGCTTAAAACCTAGATGATGAGTTGATAGGTGCAGCAAACCACCATGGCACATGAATACCTATGTAACGAACCTGCATGTTCTGCACATGTACCCCAGAACTTAAAGTAAAATTAAAAAAAAATCGTAAGAAAAAACATATTTACTATTCATTAAGCAGAAGTGGATCATCATAAAGGCCTTCATCCTCCTCATCTTCACACTGAGTAGGCTAAGGAAGAGGAGGAAGAGGAGGGGTTGGTCTTGCTGTCTCAGGGGTGGCGTAGATAGGAAAGGTGGAGGAGGTAGAAGGGGAGGCAGGAGAGACAGACACATTCAGTGCAACTTTGAAAATCCCATATAGGTAGACTTTTGCAGTTCAAACCATGTTGTTCAAGGATCAGCTTATACTACACACACACACACAACGGAGGCCCAAGGGAAGAAAAATGACCTGCCCAAGAACCACCACCACCAACTGATGGTGGAGCTAGAACTTGAACCCATGTCTCCTAAGCCTCTGGCCTGTTAATTTCTGAAATGTAGTGCAGTTCAACTTGTGAGGCATCACTGGGCCCTGCCTCTCACTAGTGGCTCATGGTGGGTGGTGAGTTAGAGAGAATATAGTCCCTCTATCAAAAGACTGTCAATTGAGGGTAAAACCTACTTACTGGACTCTCATATGGGAGGATGGCAGAGTCCACAGAGTGACCTTGGAGCCTGTCATCAGTGAGATTGTGATGATTTCTCTTTAAACTTAGCAAGATAATTGTACCTCAGCATCTGATCAAACACTAATCGAGAGGTTGCTGTGGGAAAGGCATTTTGTAGATGTAGTTAACATCAATAATCAGTTGACCTTGATAAAGGAGCTTTGGGAAGGCGGATGGGTTTCATCCAATGAGTTGAAGGCCTTAAAAGCAAAATCTGAGGTTTTCTAGGGAAGAAGATATTCTAACTCAAGATTATGGCATCAACTCCTGATTAGGTTTCCAGCCTGCCAGCCTGCCTTACAGATTTTGAACTCAAGATTGCAACATCAACACTTCCCACCCTTTTGGCCTGCCCTACAGATTTCAGACCTCCCAATTATCCCTACAACTGCTTAAACTAATTTATTAAAATAGATCTATCTATCTATCTATTAGTTCTGATTCTCTGGAGTACACTGACCAATGAAGAGATTTAGTACCTTGCCCATGTTTCAGTTTTTTTTTTTTTTTTTTTTGAGACGGAGTTTCGCTCTTATTACCCAGGCTGGAGTGCAATGGCGCGATCTCGGCTCACCGCAACCTCCGTCTCCTGGGTTCAGGCAATTCTCCTGCCTCAGCCTCCTGAGTCACTGGGATTACAGGCACGCGCCACCATGCCCAGCTAATTTTTTTCTGTATTTTTAGTAGAGACGGGGTTTCACCATGTTGACCAGGATGGTCTCGATCTCTTGACCTCGTGATCCACCCGCCTCGGCCTCCCAAAGTGCTGGGATTACAGGCTTGAGCCACCGTGCCCGGCCTGTTTCAGTTTTAAGACTTGGGACTGTAAGACTCAGAGGCTGCTGAGGCTGCGGAATAGAATCTCACAAAGCCATTCCAGCCCGGGTCCTGCCTGCTGCTTCCAGAAAGAACTCACTGCTCCTGCTCCTATGCTCAGAAATATTTGGCTTCTGGGTTTCCTAGCTGGCTGGTCCCTGTCCTTTTCTGTCAGCAAGAGAGATCTTTTTCAATCCTGCCTGGTGTCTGTTCAAACCATCCTCATGACAAGTCAGTGTCATTATGTTGTGATCCCTGTCATCTGCGGATAGGCATACTTCCACAGGCCTGGCACCTCTGACTCCCTCATTCCCAAGCCATCAGCTGCAGGATCCTGCCCAGCTGTCTCGATTGGATCACCTGCTGGAATTCCCCACTCCTGACGACTTCTCCTTGCAGGGTGCTTGAGGAAGGCAAGACCTGCCCAGGTTGTATGTCGGGTGAAAAGAAAAGGGGAACATCCCTCAGGAGCGATCCTCATTTCCCCATTGAACCATCAGAACACTGTTCTCTATCACAGCAGCAAAATGAGAAGAAAAAGAATAGTGCCTTGGAAAAGATTTCCCCTCTTGAAAAAAAAAAGTAATAAAAATAAGAGCTCTTAGGCTATTCAGCTTTGGGGTGAGGAAGAGGTGGGAACCTTGCCAGAACAGGTCTTCAAAGTTTCCTGTTTTCAGGCAAGCGGGGAGCAGAGTGCAAACATCCTTCTTCATTTACGGTCTTTGTTCTTGCTCAGTCAGTGTGCTGTGCGACAGGGTGGCCTTCCAGGCGCATGCTCCTGTCTGTGTTATCTGACTCAGATCAAAAGAGAAAATGCATGAGAATGTGCTCAGAAGGCCTGGATAACGCATACATGCCAGCCTATAATCGTAATCATGAGTGCGTGGGCTGGGACCTCTTGGGGAATCTAAGACTGTGTCTCATTTGCTTCGATCTGTCTCCTCTGATCTAACACTCATTGCACATTAATGGGCCAGCACGAGGCTGAGCACTGGGTGAGGGGCTCATCCCCGGTGGGTCCTTTGATGAACCACATTGGAGGATGAGAGTTTCCATTTCTCCCAGAGAATGCAATGACTAAAGAATTCATCGTTCAGCACCTTTGAGCAGCCACTCTTCGGGTTCTATCTGTGGAACTGCCTCTGCCTTCTCCCCAAAGATCTAAGAAATCCATGGTCATTTGCCCAAGACAGTCCTAGCTGGAGAGTAAACCCTAGGGTCTCACTGTTTATTGCCCCTCTGGGCAGCCTAGAAACAGCCAAGGAAACTCTCAAAGGCGCTAGAATGAGGCTTGGCGCCGAGAAGCACCCTTGCAAAGAAATGTTATTATCAAATGAATTTGGCTTTTTGATTACCTTGGGAATTTGAAGCTGATGTCAAGTACAAGGCAGGGATCTGGGAAGGGCAGTGTTTGGCTTCCCATACAACCCCCGCCGAGTGATTGAATGTTCAGGAAGAGCAGGCAAGCAGAAGTAGGTGGGGGTGGAGTTGGAGACGATGTCCTTATACCATGAAGAATTAGCCCCAGATTTTAAACCCTAGCAGCGAGGTGCTGGGGATTCAAGTTAGGGTCTTCACGGAAGAAACTGGGCTTCAGGGCAGTGGCTGAGTTAAGTGAATAAACAAGCATGGAAAGAATCAGTCTCTGAGCCTGGTATTTTGGGCAAGATGTTTTCACACGCCTAGTGAGCTGGACCCCGAGTGGGCTGGACGTTCTAAACAAACGTGTCATTTGTTTAGAATTTGGCACATTGGGAAGCATATTCGCATATATTCTCGCTTAGGGCTCACAGCAATGGGAGGTAGGAAGGCTAGGGACTCTTATCCATGCTTTGTTATTTTTGAGGAGGAGGAAACTTTTCCAAGGCTGCACAGCTAAAAGGTAGCAGAATTCAGAGTGCTGGGGAGGCCGACTCGAAGCCCAGTGCTCTCTTCACCTCGTTATCACGGAGGCGGTTTCTGAGGACTGGCAAAGCACGTTGCATTCTCATAGGGGGCTGGCACTCTGCAAAGTGAGTTTGCTTATGGAGCCAAGGTTGGGGTTTTGCTGCAGCAGCATTGTACTGAGAGTTGGGAGATGCGGGCAAAGTGGCTGATGTTCTAAGGGATAGTGCTGGCTGATTTTCATTTCCAGTTTGCAGGACTCCTGCCCAGCACACAGCCCTGGACACGGGGAGCAGAGGCCAGCCGTACAGGCGGTGTGCAGTGTGCGAGAGAGCACAGGGCTGGCTTCTCACTACGTGATTGGGAGCATGCGGAGGCAGGGCGGTTGAACTGTGGGTGACCCCGGGGAGCAAGGAGGCTAATTAAAGCTTCTCTTCCCCACACTTCAGTCACAAGCCCCTCCTGCCCTTCCTCCTGATGGTGCAGCTGATAAGGAGGGATTGAATTTATGAAAAGCGATGAAGATGTTTGGATAAGCCCCGGTACCAAGGCAAGCCGGCCGGACGAGTTAGGGCCTGACAGAGGCAGCAGGGCGGCTGAGAGCGTCCTGAGGGGCAGGCGAGGCCAGGAGCAGAGGGAAGGAGAGAACCAGATGCTGAATGTGACAGCCTGCAGGCCTGGCCTCGGACGGCACACCTTGGCAGTTCAGGTGGAAATGGGCTTGCTGAGAGCTGGCTCTGCTGAGATGGCTGGGCTTGCAGCTGACAGCTCCCAGCCCTGCCACCCGCGTCTCTGGGAGTAGAGGACACAGGAGGATGTGAGGCTGATGAGTGGGAAAGCGGGGAGACTAGAACCTTCTGTCCAGAGGCACAGAGGTTAGATGGCCGAGGGGAAGAATTCTGAAGATGACATAGCCATCTTTTATGAGCACTTACCATGTGCCAGGCACTGTGCAAAGGGCTTTCTACGCAATATCTCAACCCTTTCGCATGAGTGGTGTGCTTGTTCTCATGCCCATTACATGGATGTAGAAAATGAAGCACAGAGGGATTAGGTAACTCGCCCAAGGCCACACAGCTGTAAGGGATCTAGAAATTAAAGCCCAGCAGTGAATTGAAGGGAAAAATATCAAGCAGTGAGACTCTAGAGTCTTTTAACAAAAAAATTAACCTGCTGGAAGCCAGTCCACAGTGCCACATGGCCACGTGGGTATCCTGGTGTGTCTACCAGCATTGCAGGGTGAGACTTGACTTTTATCTCCGGCAGCCTCAATGCAGCCATTGTCCAGGTGGCTCCTTACCTGGTCCTCTCCATTGGCCCCTCTGACCTTCCCCAAGGGGTTACAGGGAATAGGTGTTATCTGCAGACCTGAGATTCTCCCCCACGAACTCTAATGCTGGCTGTGGAAACACCAGCTTCCAAGATTTTTAGAAGGCAAAAGCTCCAACATCTGCCCAACCCCAAACATCCATGCCCTGCCATCACAGAGGAGCCCCAGGGTTCTTATGGCCACCTGGCCCCGCTCAGGGCTCCTTGCAGCTTCACTCCTCCTAGGAGCTGCCCACTCTCGATGCTGCCGGTGAGTCCTGTGTAGATGATGGAGGCAAGTGGCTGCCTCTAGTGTCCCTGAAGCTGGGGGTGGGACCCTGAGGAAGGCAGGCTAGCTGGCACAAGTATAATGTCCTGTGGGGTGGATGTGTCACTAACTTCTCAATTAAAAGGGAGACCCCCAACCCCAGCATGCCTGGGAAGAAGGTAAGGGCAGAGGCAGGAATGGCTGTCCTCAGCAGAGTTTCTCTAACTCAAGGCTACGAGCTCTGACTCTCTCCTGCCTCCTAGAAACCAACCCTGGGGTAAGGCCGGTAAGCCACACCTGCAGAAATGGGTCCTCCCAACATGGGGAGTTGTCTTCCTCCCCAGCTTTGCTCATTTATAAAATGAGGACTCAAACCATTTGAATTAGCCAAATTTCATAGCATGCTCATTTCACCCTACTCCAAAGTCAAAGTCAAATGTACTCATTAATACATTATTTTGAACGCCAGATTTTCCATGCATTTTCACCAAGTAGGTAGCACTATGATCCAGATAATTAAGGCCGGGACAATCACGTTTGGTCTGGTCTGATCCAGTTGGGGCTGGGAGGTAGTCAGAAAGAATAAAGCCAGGATGGAGGGAATGTCTGTGCATTTTGATATAAAATACCCACCATTCTGGTTAAATGCAAGGCACGATGTATAAATCAGCCTGGGTCATTTAAGTGAACAGTTCAGACTTGGCTTTAATACTGGTCATGGTGCTCATGACTCAATTCATTAGTGTCAGTTTAACAGTTGGTTACATGGGCCAGGGGTAATATTAATGATTACTTATTAGTTAAGTGGACATGGAGCTTTTACATAAAATGCCAGGGGTACAGAGACCTTTCCAATGGCCGTGCAGGCTGCAATGGGCAGGGTAAGGCCATGGGCCTGGGAAAGTTAGAGCTCCCAGGAGGGTGGCTTACAAAGGATCCCCTGAACCCTAGCAGGTCTGGCTGGGCCTCACCTGGAGCTCAGCCCAGGAGGCCCCTAGAAAGGTGAGCTGCTGCCCCTTTGGGGCTGAATCATTGTCTGAGCAAGAGCTTTCTCTGCAGAACCAGAGACCAGCCCAGGAGGCAGCTCCCTAGAGCCCAGAAGACATGGAGAGAATGGCCCCTGGGCCTCCCTCCCAGGGAAGAAGCTGCCTGTGCAGTCTGGATTGGATTTTTCTCATGCCAAGAGGGGAATGCCCACCGATGATTTATGCAGATGTTTATAGAAAGCATACAGCTTTGCTCATTCATAAAATGGAAGAACAGTGTGTTTTCTGCCCTGGCTGGGCTCTGGGGCAGCTCTCAGGGTAGTGTGGCTGATTGTAATCATTTCCGGACATGCCCTGATTTGCTTGCAGGGAGAAGGCCAGAGTTGCTTGGGAACAGGCCACAGATGGAGCCCCAAGTGCAGGCTGCTTGCGCCGTGGAGCAGGGCCAAGGAGAGCTGTTAGCAAGGGTCCTCTCTGGGTCCTGCTGTCCCTCCAGCCCTGCCCCTTCCCATGCCTCCTTCCGGGCACCCTTCCATCTTCCAGAGCTCCCTGACTGCTAGGTAGGGAGCAGCCAGGTCAAGTGACATGAGGACATGGGGTTGGTGGCGAGGGTGCCTTGTGAGAATGCAAGGGGAAGGGGATTGTTCTTGGCCTGTGTGGTCAGTCGAGCCAGGGGCTTCTATGCAGCCTGAACTGACCCTGGGTGGCAGCCCCGTAGGAGCCAAGGTTGGGTCTTCCTCTGCCTAAGCAGCCAGTGTCCCAGCTGAGCTGACTGTTGACTCAGGGTGCCAGCATCTTCTCCACATCTGGCCCGGCAGCCTTGCCCATGGGGCCTGGTGGGGGAATGTGCAGTAGAGAACTAGCTTGTCAAAAGCCAAGGACCAAGAGAGAGGGATTTTATTCAGTGCTGCTCTGACCCCCAGCTCTGATGTCAAGGGCTGGGGCACAGTCTCTGGGGAGGGATGTGTGAGGTGCTAGTGGATCTGGGCTGTTTTACGTGATCGCTCGAGTTGGGCAAAATGTAAAGTGGAGTCTTTTCTGTCTTCCACCCTCCTCTTTCAAGCCAAAGGCTCAGGAACTTGGTCAAAGAGGTTGGAGGCATGGGCCAGATGACTCGTCTCAATCCCAAGGTTCCAATGATTCTTTTGCCTCAGCCTCCTGAGTACCTGGGCTTACAGGTGCGCACCACCATGCCCAGCTAACTTTTGTATTTTTAGTAGAGATGGGTTTTCACCATGTTGACCACCTGGTCTCGAACCCCTGACCTCAAGTGATCTGCCCGCCTCGGCCTCCCAAAGTGCTGGGATTACAGGCATGAGCCACCACACCTGGCCACTGTGAGTTTCTTATGTTCTCATGAGGGTATGTGTCAAGACAGACTCAGCAGCCACTTGACAAAGCAGATTCACTTCCCTGGACGGTGGAAAGGGCTGGCAGGAGCTTCCTTGAAACTCTTCTGCCTTTATCTGTATCTCAGCAGCCTCTGGGGCTCACTGGACATTCCCATGAATAAAGTCATTTTTTGACCAATTATAAAAACAATATCAGTAAGCAAAGGACGGAGGCGTGTCCCAAGGATATGCAAACTGGCTTGAAGGGGCTCCCTCTGACCAAGCCTGCCACAAATGTAAGCAGTAAAATAGTTTACTGCAGGAAAGAATGATAGGCCATTAATGATAGGAATTCATGGGACCATGCTAATGGTATTCAGATATAGATAGATGATTGATAATAGATAAATTGGTAGATCAATATGTGGGGGTGGAGATGGAGCGACTCTTGCTAATAGAATTCTGAGGGTCAGCAGGCGAATGTGGAAGGCGTGTTGCAGTTGGAAACTCACATTTTTGAAGCCATCTTGGCAAAGTTTGGATCAGGTAAGAATCATCAGTAGATGATAAATCCAAGAAGAAACTTTGATGAGGAGCAGGATTTTGTTTGTTTATTTGTTTGTTTCCCAAGACAGAGTCTCGCTCCGTTGCCCTAGCTGGAGTGCAGTGGTGAGATCTTGGCTCACTGCAACCCCCACCTTCCAGGTTCAAGCAATTCTCCTGCCTCAGCCTCCCGAGTAGCTGGGATTATGGGGTGCGTCGCCAGGTCCAGCAAATTTTTGTATTTTTAGTAGAGATGAGGTTTTACCATCTTGGCTGGTTTCAAACTCCTGACCTTGTGACCTGACTTGCCTTGGCCTCCCAAAGTGCTGGGATTACAGGGGTGAGCCACTGTGCCCGGCCTAGTTACTGTGTCATGGGCTCGTCCTGGGGAATGAACAGTGGATGGAGACAGAGTCCTAGGCATAGCCCCAGAGTCACTGGACTGGTCCTGTCCCTTCTCTGGCCCTTGATGCCCACTTCTGCAAAATGGAGAGTGGATGGGGGACCTTTACGTCTCTGTTTCCTCAAAGGCAACCTAAGTGGGTTCATATGGGATAACCCCAGAAGGAGCATGTTGGGGAACCTGCTTTTTATACATTGTTTAAGGGGCGGGAGAACAGCTCTGGTCTGGTCCAAGCCATTGCACACACTGTCCTTGTGGCTGGACTACTGGGAACATTTCTGGCATTTGGGAGGAAGGCTTGAGCGCTGTTTTCCAAACAGCACTGCTTCCCCATCCCAAGAGAAAACTGGCAGAGGAGAGCCGTGCCCTCACACTCCTCCTCTCTGCATGGTGGTAACACTTCAGTGGGCTCTCTAATGAGCCTGCAACCCTCCCTAAAGCCAAGGCTTGTTTGCTTCTCCCGGGAGCCTGGCACTGAGCCCTAGATGCTGTCATTGTCTTAGGGACAGACTCCCCTCCCCCAGTGGTTTCTGTGGCTCACACCACTGGGTTGGGCAGCTTTGCCCAGAATCAGGCTCATACTTTGGAGCTCCTTGAGCGGTTCCTCCATCCCTGTGGCTCCTGAGAGCAGCAGGCATCGGCTCAGCCGGTGCTGTGTGAGCATGTGCACCTCTCTGTCTGGAAAGTTCTCAGGCTGGGCGAGGGGGGCCCATCTGCAGACACTTCATTCACAACTTGTTACTGTTCGGTATTTCTCTTCCAAGGGAGGCGGAGGTGTGGTTGCAAAATAAATCTTAGGTTTTTTTTTCTTCTCCCCAAACAAATCATTGTGTTGTAATGCGGGGAGAGCCCCTAGCCGATGACATTTTTATGGGGCTGCCTCTGGCGAAGACTGTAGTGTCTGCTTGGGCCATCCAGAGGGTCCGTAGATCTCTTTTTCTCTCCCATCGCCATCCCCCGCCCCCTTTCTCTCACAGTAATACAACTTCAGTTCAATACTTGTCTAGAATTCTCAGTG